ATGCAGACAGAGCACCATATACACAAAACTATTTAAAAAGCTGGGTGGCAGTGGTGTACACCTTTAATCCCAGCACTTGGGAGGCAGAGGCAGATAAATCTCTGTGAGTTTGAGACCAGCCTTGTCTACAGAGTGAGTTCCAGGACAGGTTCTAAAGTTACACAGAGAAACCCTGTCTCAAAAAACGAAAGAGTGGGGTGAATATATATATTTAAAAAGGAGTGGGGGCTGAAGAGATGGTTCAGTGGTTTAGAGCACTGACTGTTCTTCCAGACGACCGAGGTTCATTCCCAGCACCCAGATGATGACTCACAACTATCTGTAACTCCAGTTCTAGGGGACCTGACACCCTCACACAGACATACGTGCTGGCAAAACACCAATGAATATAAAAATAAATATATATTAAAAAAAACCTGTCACGTTGACAAATATTCCATATATATAACTACTTTCCCAAGTGCCAATCCTGTCTAGATTTAACTATAAAGAAAAGTTCATCCTTTGACTGAGTCTGTAGCTAACATGCATAGGGCCTGATTCCCAACATAATAAGAACTGATATGAAAAGAACGCCGTTCATCTCTCACTCAGGCCTAGGAGACCCCAGGTACCCTGGCTTACCTCCTGAACTTAGCTTCCTCAGGTCCATCTCCGCATGAGGAGTAAACCGGACTTGTAACGAGGCTGCAGGGGCCTCCTTCACCCAGGCAGGGACGACACTACAGGGCACTCTGTCAGCTGTCCTGGCATGAAAGGAAGCCCACTGTGTCTCTGCATTGTTCCCCTTGACCACGGCATGGTCTATGTTCCTTGACCTATCTGTGCCTTTGTCCAGAAAGTTCTTCAGATCCTGTGGGCCACACTGCTCTTCAGCCACATCCACACCGGCACTTCTGCTTGATTCCAGCGCCACACCCACCGTTCTCTCTCTGTCCCCACGCAAAGCGTGCCAGGTTTCTGTGCCATCTCTGGGCTTCTGGGAGGTGTCTTCTGGGGTCCCGTCTTCAAGGCACTTCAGTTTCTCCTCAGCGCTATGGCAGTGCAGTGCGTTCTCACACCCTGGGAGCAGCCGCTGGTCACAACTGTCAGCTGTGCCATCAGACTGAGATGCGGCCCTAGGCTTATGCTGCACATTCGAGTCCTCCAGAGGCTCCAAGTTCTGTGGTGTGTCATAGTCAGCAATGTAGGGCTTTATGTCTAGAACGGGCGTGCCATGGATCATGTCAATTCCAGACAGGAACACAGCGCCACCTGAAGGGGGATAAAGGTCCTCTTAGGTGTTTACAGTGGACAGTGGTGCAGGCAAATGGAAGGCAGGATTATCCCCTCTCTCTCCAAATACCCCTTTGCACCTCATTGAGCCCACTTACACTGTTCTGCCTGGAAACCCACGTCTTCACGGGCCAAACTCCAACTCCTCAAGGCTCATACAGAACACATCACTTACAAACCTTCCTGACTCTTTCCTCTGGGTCTCACAGAGGCCTAAGTGTATAAACCTCCACTCAAGCCTTTTCCTATAGAATGGCAATGACTTACCAACACCTCTGCGCCTTGACAGTGAGCAGGCCCCTGGAACACATGTTGGGGTTCACTCATCTTTGTATCACTTCTAGGCACAGGCCAATCCTCAGCATCTCACAAGACCAACAATGTGTATTTCCACTGTGATGAGGAGACTTTAGGAGGTCTGACATGCTCCCCAACTTGGTGCTCATGTCCTGTGTAACCCCTTCTTTTCTGAGTTCAACTTAATATAAATAAAAGAACATAGCAAAAGAGTTCTGATCTCCTTCAATAATGCTTTTCCATAAAGGAGTCCTTGCTGGCCACAGACTTAACCTGACCAATTCTCCCTGCACCCTGGTGCAGTGCACAAGCATGCTGGGAAAGCCCAGTGCCAAACAGCTATAAGATGCCCTAGCAATGTGGGCAGCCTGCAGACAACACTGGCACAAAGCTGGGCCCTCAATCCTACCTATGAGGAAACGAACTCTGTAACAACTTCAGTGCAGAGGACCAGCAAAGATAAGCCCATCCTACTGACTCCTGGAAAAACAGCAGTGTTTTAAACACATCATCAACGTATGCTGCCTAAGCAGATACACTTTGGATCATTTTGTTATACAAAACTAGAAAGGTATCCATGAAGACTCAAAACAGTCAGCAGGACACAAGACCCTATAACTAAATATTAAGACAGGTCTCTGGCTGCCCACTTGGATAGCTGTTGTCCACTTCCTGCTGCTGGTACAGAGTCTCCTATCCTGACTCCTGGAACATTGATGAATGAGAACCAAAACACAGCATGTGCTCACATTGACTCTGACCTAAAGAAAAACACATTGCAAGGAGACCCAGATAGCCAGGAGAAGCAGAGGTAGGAGGATCTCTGTGACTTCAAGGCCAGCCTGATCTATAAGAGCTAGTTCCAGGCAGCTATGGCTGTTACACA